AAATAAAGCACTTAAAAATGCTGTGTGTCTGATTCATTTCAGAATTTTCATTCATTTCATTTTATTTCAGGCATTATAGAATTGTGAGAAGTGTCAAAACTACATACCAGATTTTCAGAGCACAGATGAAAACACAAATAAAATAATAGCCAGCTCAATGACACAAACAAGGCCCTTTCAAGTGATGTCTTTCACTTGTCCACAGTTTGGTTTTCAAAAGCTAACAGTGTTTTCTTGCTCTACTGATGTGTGTGTTTCCATCCCAAAGGAGCACTGTTGTATAGTGCCTAGGATACCATCTCTTGTGGCAGAAGTGTATTTCTGCTAATTTGTTACTATTTCATCAATTGTCAATAAAGCAGAACATGCACTTGATGAAATCTAGGTACAAATTCTTTCTTCATGTGGCAGGGAGCTGTCTCCTCACTGGAAAGAGCTCTGTCTCTAAGCTAAGGCTAGATTTGGAACCACACTTTATTTTAAAAGCATAATTATATACCTTCTCCAAAACAGACACACTATTAAATGACATGTTCTTTTTATTCCCTTATGAAAGCTGAATATAGATAATTATATTTAAATAATGTGCTAATCATGATACAACATTTAGCAGCCAAAGCCTGCTAGAATTTTATATGAAAATCCCATATTAATCCCCATCATTAAGCATATATGGAGAAAGAGGGGAAGTAAATGCTGTAGGATCATACCTGTTTGTCTTACATTGTAAATTTGCCAAGAAAATGGCAGTAGCTTCTTGTACTAGCCAACAAAATATGCCAAATCCTACAGACAAGCCATGTGTTAAATGCCCATTCTTATTCTCTCTTATTTTTTTAGTAGTAATAATAATAATTAAATGCCTTGGAGTTCTATTAGTAGCTAGTCATTAAACAGTACTGACAGCCTTGGTACTACTAGCCCATAGACTATAATAGTCACTGATTTTAATATATGTTGGTGTGTCACATTTCTGTTTTCTCATTTCCAAACTCTTGAGAATAAATTCATTGTGTAAAACCTGATTTTATGGAATTATTGTGGAATCCAGTCAATTTGAGGTTTCATTCAAAGTCATCACTTTCTGATTTTTTTTAAAAAAGAACCTGCAGAGATTTACCTTCAGGAATTGGAGGAATCTGTTTATATATACACACATATATATGCGTATATATGTATATAACCCTCAAATATATATATATATAGTATGGCAATGGAAAATTTAACACAGAGACTGGATTGCAGAGACGAAGAAGTATTCAGGGAGCTTTCTGAAAGCTGATTCTTTCTTTACCTATTAATTATACTCCTTCTATCATACTTCAAAAGGGTTTTTTTGTTTGTTTTGTTTGTTTTTTTGTTTTTTCCCTTCCTGGATACCAGTTCTAGTTAACTTGAAGCTTACCAGTAAAATCCCTTCAGTTTCCAATTCTATAGAAATACAGGCCTCTGCAAGTGTAACAGTGTGTATTATCTGTGTACTATTAATGTTTATTCTGGATACCTTATCACACTAGTTGAAAATCCAAGAAAGCAAATCTTGCATTTGTATTGTCCATTATACTTACTTACCTTTCTCCCTTCCTCATTCTCCATAATTCTTGAAGTCCTTCACAAATTCCTGTGGGAGGAAGGAGTGGGAAGGGGAAAGGGACAGAAGTCTCTAAGATACCTGAGTTGCCAGAAGTTTTATGGAAATATGCAGAGGAAAGGAAAACTGCTGTCTGAAAATTACTAGTGCACAACACAAGCTCTAATGTTTAATCAGGCAAAATGACTCTACCTGGGGCAAAGCCAAGGCAAAGTTGAGGAAGCTCCCGATGGGGATGGTACCTTCCCAGTCCACAAGACCGTGAGATAGCAAGTTCTGTTAGTCCCAAGGTTCACAGAACTGCATTAGTTTGCCAGTTCGATAAACGGAAAAGCAGCCTTTTTATTTCTGCTGAATGCCATGCAGAAGAATGCCCTTCCATAGCACATCAGAAAATCATTCAGGAGCTGCTTTTGCAGCTCTTCAGAGTTTATTATTATTATTATTATTTCTTTAATACTTTAATTTCTGGGGCCAGAGTCTTGCACACAGGAGAATCTGATAACACAGTTAAAAAAATCAGATTAGGTTTATGGACTATTAGTAGTATTAGCAAATTCTACTCTTTCCAACAAGGACTGAAGTAATGAGGGCATTTTGCTGTGTCTTTTTTTTTTTTTTTTTTTTTTTTTTGAGGGAATATTTGGTTCAGTGAATAATTGCAGCTTGCTGGGCACTGAGCCATTCGTTGGAAGGGGAGCTCTCTGGTGATGTCAGTGACGTTCCATATTTATGCAGTAATGTCTCAAGATAATGCCAATACAAAACAGAATGGTGTTTGACATTTAAGAGAAAATACAGGCAGGAATATTTGGAAGTGTTAATAAATGTATGTTTGAAAACAATCCTTTTTGATCAAAATGTTGCTAGTAATTCCACATTGAGCCTATAGAAAATAAACCTTTCAAGTAATGCTCTCCACAAGCACATTTTTCTGCTATTTTATAGCTTTTTTTATTGCTAAAATTAAGTAAGCAAGCTTGATAATTCCCCAAATGCTCTTCATGTTTTTATGGAGCCTCTCACAAGAGATATAATCTCACAGAAGAACACTCTGTGGAGTGCAAAGTTCGTGCAGTCCCCCCACACTAAAAGTCCCAAGTGACTTTGGATTTGTGCAAGACTAACGCTAAAATCTCAGTACACCTTGATTAATTACAGGTTTTGCATTTCCTTTCTGCAAGTCAGTTGAAGTAACAGGCGTGGACAAATATAATTTGATTGAGTAAAGGTCTTTTGTCTTCTGATCTTGCCAGATATTTTTGTTTGTTTGTTTTTGCTGAAAAGGTCAGAAAGATCTGAAGATTTGTGAGGTTTCTTACCTCACGGTAACAAGTATCCTCACTGGTTTTCCTCATTTTTGCATGTTACAGGCTGGTTGATATATTTGGCTCTGAAATTTCTACACTTTGGGGACAGAACAAATGAAAAATTTCTTATTTGCTTCAGTGTTTCCACAGGAGGGCTTTTTACAGGGAGAAATGCACGTCCTCTCATACCCATTACAGCATTTGCTATTTAAGAGGCACTGCACCATTTTATGTATGTCAGTCAGGCTTTTGGTCAATGCTGACCTCTTTCCATTCCTTGTTTTTTCCTGTTTTTTTTTTGTTTTGGTTTGGTTTTGTTTCAAAGCAGCTTCTTGTTTCATGGCTCTTGTTTGCAAAAGTAAAATTATCCTGACAGCCATTCAGCATTTGGCATAGGACCTGAAGCTTGATAGCTCCAAGCCTCTTTTTAAAAGAGTCAGTCTTGCAACGATACTTGATACAGATATATTTAGTCTAAATAAAATATGATGCAGAACTCTCTTCTTGATTTCTCAAGATGTGACCCCCTGCTAAAGTTGAAAGTGAATTTAGGACTAGATTAAAGATGAAAGAAGAAAGAACAAGATTTGCAAAGATTCCAAGCTGAGGGTTAGGAAACTCTTATTTGTTGTATCTTATGTATTTGCTTTAAAAATAGATAGGTGTTCATCAAAAAATGCGGTTTTCTAAAGGAGAGGAAGTTGTATCTTTTGCTGCTGCATGGAGTCACTGTGTTGAAGAATGCCCTGCAAGCAGCAATGTCCACCAGCTGCATGCAAGAGGACTGGGTTAAAAAGATTTGCACGCTCTACGGAAACATGGACCTTGAGCTGCTCTACAATAATAGCTAAACCTTGTCATTCCATGCAGTTGTGTGTAAGGCTGCCCTTATGGCTACGTCCTTTCTCTGCAGTATGCAAAAACAGAGAAACACTGCACAGAAATAAAGTATATAGCTGTAGGGGGGCTGCTTTTGTGTAGTGGTTCCCTACTGCCTCTTTTCTTCGGAGTACTGCTATAGCAGAGATCTTACTCCATTTTCTCCTACATCCGAAAAATAAAAGGGGAGGGATAGTTAATTTGAAGCATGGTAATCTAGCTTTTTGCAGACAACCTTGTGTGAGTATGAACAAAACTACCATAAAAGAAGCATGATCATCAGAACAAAAACCTGTCTCTGCCTCCCTTTCCTGCCTACCTCCTCTCTGGTTTCTGGTTACAATTCTGTATTTTAAAAAAAATGAACTCCCAGTACATCAGATACTCCAGCAGGGATGGAAAGGATGAAATAAAAATTTCCCGGTCTCTTTGGCATTATTAATGCATGTCATCATGTTATTTCATAATAACATGAAAAATAGTTAGATTCCTATGAAAAGAAGTTCTAGGCTATTTCTAGCTTGCAGACATAGCTTTCCAACCCCCTTCATTGTAGTTCAGCTCTTCTGCTTGCTCTAAATTAGTGTGTCTCCACTCATTTTAGTGACTTTTTGATAACTCACTCACTTTGGTGCAGCTACCACACCAAAAAAAAAAAAAAAGACTTTCAAGAAGTCTTTATACAATGGCAAAATTAACCTTATTGCAGGAAAGGAAATAATAAAACTTAGCTGGAAGTGCACTGTGCTCAAGCACACAGACCTGTGTCTGAAAGCATTGCCCGTTTATGCTTTCTTACTCCTTATGTTCTGCGTGTGCAGAGAAGAACTCTGTTCCACCCCCTGCCTACCTCCCACTTCCCAGCTAATATTAAAAGCAGAGACAGCTCTATAGAGAATGTGTTGTTAAGATGAGGTCATTGCTTTCATAAAGTACTCACTAGCAGTTATGAAGCATATAAAATGAAGTGGTTTAGATTACTGCTGAATACATTTTGCACAAAATCCACACACTTTTGTTGTTATTTTCTACTCCATTCTTTCTCTTATTTTGCCAAATTCTAATGAGTCATCTCCTTTGCTTACTGCATATCTGGCAAATTGTAACTGCCTTCTCCACAGGGAGAACTGCCTAGTCCTCTGTTCCTGTTCTGCAACATCTTCTGACTTTTGCATGTTCTAAATGTTGTTCTTTTTTTTTTTTTCCTCTCATCCAGGTATTGCTATGTGGATATTTGTTAGCAATGACTGATGTGGAATCTACATATGCAGATTTTATTGCTTCAGGAAGAACAGGTAGAAGAAATGCACTACATGACATACTTGTGTCCTCCACGGGTGGGAACTCTAGTGAGCTAGCCTTAAAGTTATCAGAGCTTGATATAAGCAAGGCAGGTGAGTACATTTTGTATTTATTATTATCTAAAACTGCAATGAAAAAGTAGTGCAAAAAAACATGGCTTTAGGGCATGCATTATTCCCTTATCCCTCACCAGCAAGACTCAAATGCTTTATCTGCTGCTGGGAGATCAGCTGGGATTGCCTGCAATACAAATTCCAGATTGCAGAAATAGGAATGATGGTTATTTGCAAGTACAGCATATTATTAAAATAGATAAAGACTTTATTCAGTGAGTGTCTGGTGGCAGGGTTCATGTAGGAATAAATATTACAGAAAATCAAATGTAAGGAAAAAAAAAAGGACTAGTTTGGAAGGTTTTATTCAGACAGAACCAACTTCTCTTGATTATCTTTAATGGAAGCTCTGTTTTGAAGCTTGCAGGAGAGATTGTGTCTCTGCCTAAAAGGTTATTATAAAGGTTAACTTTGTTCTCAGCTGCTAGAGGACACAGCAATAGCAGTTCATTTATACTTGTACTTGGATTTTGTTTCCAGTTAAATTGTCCTGTTCTCTTTTAAAGTGATCAACACTAATATACTCCTAACTCTAAGACTCTTACTCTAATTTCAACTCGTTGTGGAGCTTCAGTTAGCAGGAAGAAGAGACAGTGTATGGTGAAGAGCCTTGCCCTAGATAAAAATAGTTATTCTGGAGGTATTGTTGTAGGTTTTATTTGAAATGCATAGTGCCAGTCTCTTTCTTGCTTCTTCAGCCTCATATTTAAACTTATCAAGATACTGTTTTATATTGAATATTTAGAAAGTTTACACTATCCCTACTTTTCACTAAAGCTTTTGGAATAATTGCAAGACAGGACTATATTTTCCTATGATCCATAGGAAGAGTGTGACATAGTGCCTGTAGTATGTCAGTAAAAATTTTGTTCATGCCATTAGCTCTGTCATGATGAGAATGGTTAAAAAAATTATAAGACTAAATTTGAATAGATAATTCAGGAGTCTGTTTAGTTTGTCCCTTTTTCTCCTTATGTAACTGTTAATCATTGTAGAAAAGTATTCGAAATGGCTTTTAAAATTATACCTTTTGGTAAGTCATGCAGTTTAAATTAGGTACAGTGAAATATTCTTCAGTTTTATATTATTAGTATACTTGGTGATTGTTTACAAAGTGGTAAGAAAAAGTGTAATGAAGAATGAGCCCCAGTCTCTGCAAGTCTAAACCTGCTTTTCAGGATATTAGTGGACGTACCGGAGAACACAAACTCAGTGCAGAAGTTGAAAGGAGGCTTGTAAAAGAAGAGTTCTAGTAAAATCTGAGATGGTCCTCCTGTCTCTGAAAAACTGGGGGTAGTGCAGATACGCTACAGATCTGCACTGAAGGACTGATTATTGAAATTTGTCCTTAAAAGTGAATTTAACTTACAGTAGAAATGCTTTAAGTGTAACCACTGGGAACAGTGGTTGATATTGAAAAGTCAACAACATTCTGGGAGGAAAAATTAATTAAGAGTTGCCTATTAGTAGAATTAATAAAAGGTACTCCTAAGTTACTAACTGACACAATTGTGTTGTAGCATACAGTAATTTTTTTTGTTTGGTTTTGTGTTTTATTATTATTATTATTCTGCTCATTGGAACCAAAATGCTGCAGAATAATTACAGCTGTTACTCTTAAGAGCTAAGAGTCTTTATGTTTTGAAGGAGAAATGATTCTAGACTGTGTTTAGTCAATTTTTGGATTGTCAGAACCCAGAAACAAAATTATTTTCTCAAATATATTTTTAGACAGTTATCAGTGGAATACAGTTGGTAAATCCAAAGAAGCGTATTACAGATTGAACAGATTTAGGCCAGTAAGTGTGTCATTTTATTGAGAATCTCTTTAAAGAAATGGTATATTAGAACCTAGCCATCAGCGCTCTTGCAGCAAACGTGAGTAAAGCCCTTCCCATATCTTTGTTCGCGAAGCCTAGCCATGATGATGATGATATTAGAACCTTTGTTCTCTTTCTGTAAATCTTGATGTTTAATTTGGGTAGTTACATGTCTATGCTTTCTGTCCAAACGATTTTTCTTTTATACACAAATACCTTGGAAGTTTTCTTCTTTTTTAAAATCTTTTTAATTTTGACTTATTTAAATAAGAATTCAGCAAAGCTTGAGTTGTCCATTAAGTATGGGATGGATTAAAGACTCTCTAGTTATCAGTATGAATGGACTACAGAGCAGGTAGAAAGGAAATCAAATATCAGATTCTACTCATCTGTATTTTTGCAATAACTGAACAAATGTAGGAGGCTTTGTAGAAAGCATATGGACAAATCACGCAAAAGGGATTTCTGTCTAGCAGGAATTCACATGTAGATCCATCCTGTTGGAATCATTTCTCTGTGGGAGATAACCCTGAGAAACAAAGAAAGTCTCCAGATTTGATAATATTCAGGTTTCTGAGAAAGTGAATGGCAAAACATTTTTATTTTTAAGTTGACCCATAATGAAGAGAATCAGAACAAACCTCACCGTAGTAAGTTAACACTTCCTATAACTTCTCATTAGGTTGAATTTGATAATCACTAATACTTGAGCTGTATTGCATAAAATGCAGTACAAAATTTGAGCCTTTTGCAACAGAACCTCTCTCCATTAGTTGCTGTTTCATGTCTGTAGAAGAGAGAAAGCATTTACATTTTTTTCTTTTAATAAACAGAAAGAAAGTTGTAAACGTATTGTGCAGTTTGAAGTCAGGAAATCATAAATTATTAACCTAATATATTAACCTGATATATTAAGGTTGAGGCGCTGCTACCTCTGCTTTGACTTCTTCATAACATAGAAGACCTGAACATGTTAGGTCTTGAATCATTACTCAAAAGAAATCATACAGTACCTTGTATGTAGGTACTTACAAACACTACCAAGCCACCTCTTATCCATCCTTAGACAGTCCTTAGGACTTTTCTACTCGCTTTTGCCATTATAAAACATCTTCCATTCCTCAGATCATTTTGTGGCTTGCAGTGAGACAGCTGGATTGAAGGTTTCAATGGAATGTGGTACTTAAAATGAACACACAGTGTGGGCCTGTTGAATTTTCATCTCTTTTCAGTAAACTCTGTTAAGACTTGGGTTTTCTCCTACATATGTATAGTAAATAAATATGTAAAAATGCACTCTCACTTCTGAAAACTTCTTTTATTTCATATTATTTTAGGTGTTACTTGAAATTATAGTGGGAGATGCAGCCAGGAATTTGATTTTGAAGGTGTCTTTTGAGACAAAAAAATATTGTGTATCAGTAGTAAATGATTTTATAATTACAGATTTAGCTTTGAATTTCTGTTTGTAAGAGTGATGGATGAATCTCTCTGTTTGGGAGTGAATCACCCATCTTTTTTCTTATGTCTTTGTAGAAGGAGAAGGAGATGCACAAAGAAATCCAAGTGAGCAAACTGGGGAAACCCAAGGGGAGACGGCAAAGCAAGAAAGCTGACATCCGACTTTGACCAACTGGAGCAGCTGCTGGATGTTTTCAGAGTACAGGAGCATGCTGGAACAAATTTGTTTCCATGAGCAAGCCTATGGAAAAGAAAGTGCATGTGTCTTCACTGCTGGAACCCATTCAACACAACGTTAAAAATGGGGGTACAAGCTGTGGCAGAAGACAGAATTTTCTCTACCTCTGTCATAAGCAATGGTTGAACGTGTATTGATTTTGGAGATAGAGTCATCAGATGGATCCCTTCACAGTGACTACTTGATGGGAATACTTTTAGAAAGTAGAGCAGGTAAATCTTGTAGCAAATGGCCTTTGAAACGTCAGAGGATCGATAGTGTATCTTAAGCAAAGGCTTGTGTGATCCTCAGAGTTTAAAATTCTCTGGCCAAAGTGTTCACCCATTAAAAGAACTGTAAAGAAAGCACTGTTTTTAGAACTCTGCGTCTGTGTTTTACAGCTCTGTTATTTACAATGGTTTTTGTATTGTACAACTTAGATGCTCCACACTGCCCCTTCTCAACTGCTTATGAAGAATATTTCTGTTACTGTGAATTTTTCTACCACTCGTTTTGAAAGGGCTGTTTTTTGCAAAATGTGGTGATGTGCTCATGATAGATTTAAAATGTCAACAGCTAAATTACTTATGCCTAAACATAAACGACTCAGCAAAACTCTAATTTGTTACTAGATGAGCCTTCAAAACGATTCATTAATGTGAATATTTGGTGTGTTTTGTGTCCTTGGTACAGTTTTGCCACTTGCCTGTAGTTAGTTGCATATCAAAGAGTTGAACTGAATCTCTTACATTATTCTTCCCCTTTTTTTCTAATTTTACGCCCAATTTATTAATCTTTCTCCAAACTATTTTTTTAAAATGGTAGTCCAATTATTTTACTATTATGGTAGTTTTAAGGATACATTTATAACCTTATATGGCTTAAAATTCAAATGAATTCCATGGTGCTAGAGATTTTTCTGGTTCACATTGTCAAAATGGGTGTTGTTTATACATGAATAAATAACCAGCATAGATACTGCCAAACATCTATTCTGGAATGATTTTTAGACTGCAGAGTAGTTAAACTAGTGGATCATGACCCAGCCACTGGGGCTAGTTGCCCTGTTCCTTGCCTTCATCTCTGTTGATGAGGCTGTTGGGTTGAGGCTTAGCCAGCATCTGGTTACTGATGCAACCAAGTGCCAAGTGCTAGAAGCTACTACAGCAACTTTGTGGTCAGGATGGGGACAGAGAAAGTCTCTACTTGGCATTTAGCATCCCAAAGATTGGATTTTTCCTGTTTCAGCTATTCTGAAATGACAGTCCCTACCGGACACTCAGGAGAGCTTGTCCAGCCAGAGGATTACTTAAAACAGCTTTAACTGAATAGCTTACTTTGCAGTAGCTATGCTGGCAGACTTCCCCCCTTCTCCTCATGTGTAGATGAGGCCCAAACTGAGGCTGAATACTGCAAAATGGGCAGTTGTGCCTCTCTATGACTAAGGTGAGTATAGAGTGACTGACAAATAAACCATGGCAATCACATAAGCACCAATCAGAGTCAGAAGATTTTCTTTTTATTAATAGGAGGTGATGTCACTTTCTTTATATATTATATATATATATATTATATATATTTTTCTGTTGGTGGTGGTTTCAAATGTTATGCACTTTTTAATGTTTGTAAACTTTTACTAATTAATGGTGTGATTGCTTCCTAAATAGATTGATCATCAGTTAACAAAACATCTTTATGGCCACAGCTGTTTCTACCATATGTATCATAGTATTTGTCACTTGGAATTCTTTTGTGAGATGTGTTTAAAAAAAGGAGAGAAAAACAAACAAACCTCTCATCAGTATTATGAGCTCATTTATTAGTGTTAATAAAAAACAAACCAGCAGTATGCTTGTGGTTCATTAGTGTAATAGTAACTCTTTCACCTGTTATTGTTTGGAAATTGAAAGCCTCGCTGTCATACTGACTGACAAATACCCCATCTTCCTTGTTACATAAGTAAGTAGCTTATTTGCTTTGAAAATACTATTACCTTTAAGCTTATTAGTTGTTCATTTGTTTCTCCTGGTATTTTGTTTCCCGCTTTGTATGGCAGTAACACCAGAAAGAAATAAGATATTAGGGCCTTTATATAGTGTTGTTTTACTGGCAATCCACAGAATACCATCACTAAAGAGTAGTAGTAAGAAGTAATAGTGGCATAAGTAATTACAGTACATTAAAGCTTTGGTTTTCTTTATTTTCTTTCCATGCTTTTCTTCCTTCCTAAACCTTCTATGTTGTGAAATAAAACACATTTGAACCTTTCACCTCTATTTTATAGTTGTTTCCTCCCTCTATTTCTCTTCTTGTTTTCTTTCATTTCTAAAGCACGGAGACCTTTGTGACTTTTTGAACTGTGTCTCCTTGATGGAAAATAGCACTATTAATTTTGGTTCAGTAAAAGGCTATTTACGTTTCTCATTCCACAAAAGTATATGAATGCTTATTTCCTCACTTGGACTCTGCTCACTCTCTTTATTTAGGATATTTCTCTAGCATCTATAAGCAGCCCTAGATTTACCTGAAACAGTTCCGATAAAAACTGTACAAAAAGCAAGGTGGAGATGTAGAGCCATCATTTTGCACAATTCTAGGGAATGTTCTTAGCCACTAGAACTCTTTTGGTTTTGGTTGTGAATTATTAGCATGCTCTCTGGCATGTGTTTGGCCCTTGCCAGCTAAAATTTTCAGGGCTAGGGACCATTCATAAACTGCAGAAGATTCTCAGAAGGGAGCTAACTTGTGATCCTGCAGTTCTACAGATAGAAACTGTTTCTTGATGTCTGTTCTCAGTGATCGAGAACAGATCCTAGGCCTGTTTACTTACCAGTACAGACACAGACTGGGTATCCTTATGTGTGTAGCTAGTCTGCACCAAATCGTACTACAACATCTCAACTACTATTATTACCTGAGCAATTTTAAAATAGCTAGTTCAAGCATAGTCACACCTTTATGGCAGTGTAGTTGTAACATCTCTTCCTGTATAACAGGAATGTGGATGGCAGAATCATGTTTTAAGTATGTTTTTTTTTTCCTCTGCTAGTTACATTTACAGTAAGACTGAAGCTTTTGCTTCTGATACTGTATTTTCTCCATATTTTACTATTCTCATAGTAAGGAAAATGTTAATATGTTTAACTAAGCCGGGATTATTTTAGAGCAATCACTCAAAAATCTATAAACTCAAAATAAAGTTATGTTAGCTTAGTAGAATACTTTCTACAGATTTTTTTTTTCCCTTTCAGCTATCTCTTTACGGATAGCATTTCAATGCTTCCTACCCCTGCCATTCCTGTCACTCCAAAAAATAGTCTCTTCAACCATGTTCTTATTGCCTATGGCAAGTTTTACGACTGTGTTTACAAACATTGTATTTTGCATTTGCCATCCACATCCACAAACAATGAGAACATAGAACAAGAATTCTATGATACTGGCATTTCTCACTTTTGCTTACTGCTTTTGCTGCTGTTTCTGTGCTTGACAAAAGCACAAAAGGCAAGCACATATATATATAGACCATGACCTTCCAAACAGTGATTAAGAAACCAACATCAAATGACTTGTGTCATTTACAGCTATTTCTCTTGCCATTTTTTCTGGGATTCTAAAGTTTCAGGTGAAAGAAGTGTGTCGATGGGTCCCAACGTGTTACATTTCATACAAAGGGCAAATGTCTCATGTCTGCAGGAGGAGGCAACTACTAAAAGTGATTAAGCTTGAACTCCAAGAGTATTAACTTGTTCCTTAGCTAAACGTAATGAAGGTGTGCCTAATGTTTGTGTTTCAGAGATATCAACAAAATTTTATGAAGAAAATGACAAAGAAAACTGCTGCTGACAGTGAGCTCAGTAACCTCAGCTTTGTCAAGATTTAATGCTTTACCTTATTGGTACTCCCATATTAAATTTTTGCCCTGACATGTTCCATGGTTTTGCTATACTTCTCTTCCTGGTCTGTTTTCTGTCCTGTGTTATGTCTATGTAAAATAATGCCCCAGAAATATATAGAGTACCTTAGAGGATTTTCTGTATATTTAACTGATGGAGTTCTTGTAGTGGGTGAGGAGTGTTTCTATTCGTCCATCTGATCACTGCTTCAAAACCCTAAATGCTTGAAGAAGCAAAATAGCTAGGAGGCGAACATGAACATGAAGTCAAAAAAAAAAAAAAAAAAAGGGGGACAGCAATAACAGGAGGATATTTCTTTATAATGGTGAAGCATGTTGAGCCCAATGCAGAAAATAAGTCCCTCCATTCTGCAGAATGATGGACAGTCGGGATGGGTTGGTCCTAGATGAAAAGAAATGACACAGTTTGGCTTGCTTAGGTTTCAGCTGTGTTCTAGAAGAGAAGCAGACAAAAGTTCGGTGTCTGTGCCATTGATACATCACGAGCAAATGAGAATCATCAGAATCTAATCAAAAAAGAAAGGAATTTCTAGATCAGTTAGGATATAGTTTCTGATTTGAAAACAGAAACTTTTAACAGCGTTAAGATATATAAGCTCAGCAGAGAGAACAATGGTCAAACAGAATAGTCTGGGAAAACAAGATGATAACTGAATCAGTTCATATTGTTGTATGTGACTAGCAAGTCTAACTGAGTTAATGGAAGATGAACTAAGAATGTTAGAACAAAGAATAAAGCTAAATGTAAACATAATGAAGTGCACTTGTGCTTCTGAGAAAAAGCCTGCTCTTCTGAAAGCAGCACGCTTCATATTTTGCCTTCTTATATTATGGGTTGAGCTGCTAATTTTCTGGGAGGGAACGCAGGTAACATTTTTTTCATCTCATTACATGTGTGTATATGCAAATGCTCCTTTGGTGTTTTCAGGCAACACATATATTCTTCAGTGTCCTGAGACCCAGTGTTTATAAAGGACCTATCCTAATGACATCTAGCTTATGAGCTCTTTTGTGTGCTTTAGCAAATGAGTTGTCAGTATACTTTTCAATCCCATTTGTCATTAAGAAATTCTCCGGTGTTGTTCCATGAGTATAGTATAACAGAGGATAGTCTGATACAGTCTTGACCAAAGTAATTTCTTTTGAGTGCTACGAAAATGCCTGAAATAAAAATGCAAAAATCTGCACTATCTTCTTGCAGTAGCAAGTGTAGATAATGTTGCTTTGTATCTGTTAAATAATAAACCAATTGTATGAGTGGTTCACCAGTTAAGGGTTAAATTGAGTTAATTATAAGATGTGCAAAACCTCTCTTCATGTTAAAACAAGGTTATAAAAAAATCAATCATTGTTTTTAACATGCAAAAAGGCAAGAGGTAAAATAAAAAAATAAAAGGTCATTGATTCATAGCTAGTATTATCATAGTATCTGAAAAAATGAAGAGAGATAGTTGTAGGAAGACCAAATCTTTGCCAGTCCAACAGTTCAACAATGGATCAATGATGAGTTGATCCATTCCGTATCTGTGGAGTTGCTTTAGCATGTAAATTAACTCTCATTGAATCCATTGTTGCAATGGATATTGCAAACAGATTCATGGAAATGGATTTTAAGCATGAACAGGTTTCAGGAGAAAACAGGATCTTTTTTTACCATCTAGCACATTGACAGATG